TTGTATTAGTAATATTTTTTTTTATCTGGAAGGTCCCATACATCCAATAAGGATCATTGCGCTTGATTCTCTATAAGATTGAGCCTAATAGGAGTTACGAGTATGCTTTCTAAATTGGTACATTTCACACTGGAATTCTAAAAATTTTTATTGATGAATAATTAGAGAACATATCTTTATAAATAACTAAAGTTGGGTTGTTCGAGTCTATAGTACCACAACATAATTGCACTTTCATACTTTTGAGAATATAGAATCCAAAGTGCACCTCAGTAATGTCATTCATCCTCCTTGAACTTAGTTTTTGAAATTTAACTGTCTGTATAAGATTTAGCAACACAAATCAACTCTTGAGTTCACTAACAAATATTAAGTTGCAACTTAAATTAGGAAAAAGGAGTATTGTATTCGAGGTTATATCTTTGGATAGGAGTAGTGAACCCTTTCCAACAACTCGTGCTAAAACCCATCTGAAATTTTGACAGACATGTTATTCTAGCAAGGGTTATAAGTCTTGAGGACCCCAAAATCACTAGTCATGATTTGAAGTAGCAGAGCCTATGATACAGTTATTGTCCAACTTCTGCCTTGAAGTTATAGCATTTATGAAGTTACCTGAGTGAGCCACTGATTCAATATCAGCAACCGGGCTATTTATTTGGTGGGAATTGATTAATTTTTAGAAAAATTCTGTCTGCTCATTACTGAACAGAACTCGTTTTGTTGGAGTAGAGTCTTCTCCTGCCGTTATGTTTCCTCTTGCTTCTTTACTGTTTGGGTTCTGGGCCGGTCTTCAATCCCATGCAGTTTCCGGCATTTTCCCTTTGTGTGCCTAGTTTTCGACAGTGATCATACCGATGGCTCCCTTTCTTCTGCTTTGTCTCTTCCTGGATTATTCGACTATTCTGGGTAGCAAGTACAGAGCTTTCAATGACTTCAGATGAATTGAGTTTTCCAAATATCACTTTCTTTCAGCTTTTCTTCATGAACATCTTGGAGAATGCCTTGCGGTTACTAGGTACGGGTTTCGAACCCACACTCCTTCCTCGGACATTATCACGTTCTTTGTTAAGTCCAAGCAATAACTTGTACCGCCTTTTCCTTTCAACAGTTTGTCTGTACCTCAGAGCATCTATGAGGCAGTGGTCTTCATCTTCTTCTCTTCCCCCTTCTGCGCGCACACACACGCGCGCGCGCGAACACACACACACACACTCTCTCTCTCTGTCTCTCTCTCTCATCACTCTGTCTCTCCTTGCTCTGTCTGGGCCAAGTGGTCTCCTCTCCAACCTCGATGTGGTCAGTCAGAAAATTGACCGGATTTTGCAAGGAATGCGGAGACTGAGACTGTCTCTGCTGTTACTACTCCTTTTCTTCGACAGCTTAATCTTTTTGACACGGGAGAGGAGATTGCAAAGGCTAGGGTTTTCGAGGAAGATACGGATGAAGGAAGAATTAGATGCAACCACTGTAAATAACCAGTGGGTACTTTCATTCCCATTCGAAAAGGACAAATCTCAGCGAGACGAAGAAGAAGAATGAGAAGAGCTGCAGACGAGAAGCTGCAAATTAGCAGTGGGCGCCATGGAAGACGAGAACCTGGCCTCCATTTTCACGATCCAGAAGACGAGGAAGACGAAGGAGGAGGAGAATAGCTGTAGAAACGTGATTTTGTGTTTAATTTTTTTCATCTGAGTTCTTTTTTCATGGTTTTGTGTTCATTTTACATAAAAAATAAAATAAGCTAATTTGGAAAGAGATGAGTGATGAGGGAGAGCAGCGAGATGAAGTTGGGGAGACTCTCATGGTAACTTTTTTTTTTTTTAAACGAAAGAAGGCCTTTGAAAAATACTTCAAAAATAATTTTTTATGCGGTCAATACTTTAAAATATACTACAAAATTTGAAAATTGTTTCAAAAAAATTTAGAACTAAAATAAAAATAATTAAAAATTAAAACTTAAATTATTAATTTATCTTTTTTCTACTATTTTCAAGTTCTTTATGTTTGGGACAATTATAGCTAAATGTCTTGTTTTTTAAAAATATTTTTTTTGAGTGGTAAAATAACAATTTAGTAATTCTGTCATTTTACTGTTACAGAGATTGAGGATAAAAAAAAATACTGAAATACTATTTTTTTCAGTTTCCATTTTTTATAGTTATAACTTGGCTGAGTTATTCTTTCCGGAAAGCAGCTAGCATAATAAACTAGCCTTATTATAATAATAGTTATTAATAATTATTTAATGTCTATTTTATTAAATATTATAATTATATATATATGCAGCTTTTGTAGAACGGAAAATAAACAGATAATTAATTATAAAAAATTCAAATGGTATGATTTACTCTTGTACTATTTAATTTAATTTACTATTTTTTTAGCATTTTCTTTCAAGTTGAAGAGTAGATATTGCCCCTCCCCAACTTGCTAATAAAAATTTGAAATGTTAGATTATTTAAGTATTTTGTTAATACATCTGACAATTGAGAATTGGTAGGTACGTTAGGAGTACAAATCAGACCGTCGTCAAGATTTTTTTTTAATAAAATATCTATTAATTTTGATGTGTTCGTTTCGGTCGTATTGCACCGAATTATGAGCGATGTCTATGACCGTATTGTTGTCATATTATAGGTGCATAAGATTTTCTCACTTGGTTCTAAGATGTTTAAAAAAAAAATTTATCCATAATAATAACATACCCCTTGTACCATTATCCGCAACTCTGATTCTACACTTGATTTCGCAAGTAAATTTTATTTCTTAGTTCTCCAGGTGATTAGATTATCCCCAAGAAAGTGCAGAAACTTATAGCAGAACTTCTGTTTACAATTGAATTTACATAATCTACATCAATATATGTTTTTAGGAGTAGGTTATCATTCTTTCTTAACATAATTCTTTTATTTGGTGGCTTTTTTTAGTATTGTAATACTCTGTAAGCTACTTGTAGGTGCACTTTCTTTCAATTGTGCGTAAATTGGTTTATAACACTTACTTTATAAGTTTTGTTACTTTACAGTTCAAGTTTCGTAATAATTTATTGACTGATACAATATTAGCGATTATTTGGAAATGTATAGCATATTTTCTAGGATAATGATAGGATTAATCTTAATGTTCTTCTTGCTACCAGTAGTATTTAGGGAACCATTTGTAGTGACAATCTTCTTATAATTTGAATAGAGAAGATATATGTGAAAATGTTTAGTATTGATCATATGATTTGTGATTTCTGAATTTACAATCCAAAAATTTTCCACAGGATTTATTTGAGACATTCAAATCGTATGAAAAGAAATATATATTTGAGTGTTTTATTAAACTTATGGTTGTAAACTTCTCAAGGTCCTCCAATCAACTTTGTGGTCATTCAATATTGACCTTGAAAACAGTAAGATCGACATATGCTCCTTCTTCCCGTTGGTTAGCCTTATGAATCTGCTTAGGAATCTTTTATGAGGTATTTTTGTATCCCACTATTTGCTGGAAGTACTAGGCTTTCAGTGCAATTTCTAACACTTTTCTAGGTATACGAGCTTTTTGCAAAACGTACACCAAGGATTATCCCAGACTAGGCTTTCAGTGCAATTTCTAACACTTTTCTAGCGTATATGAGCTTTTTGCAAAATGTACACCAAGGATTATCCCAGCTATCTATTCACGGAGTTGAGTTCTTAGAGTTACTTATCTCATTTGCTTGCTAACAAGGTCTGGAGTTTTGTGAAATTATGACTGAATTATTGATGGAGAGAGATTCTAACATAACTCTTTTTCTGCTTTCTTCTCCTGTTATAATGGAAATTACCTCATTGAGTAATAACATTTTCTCTTTTCTCAAAATCTGGACTCGTACTTCATTTGTTCAGGATTTACCCTTGATAGAAATAGGTATATACGGTCTTTTTATATAAATTGCTTAAATCGAGCTGCATCCCTATGGTCAAACTATGGTACTAATCCAGTTTTTGTCACAAGTTCTCTAACAAGTTAGAATTTCATTACTGACTTGTTTCCTTGATAGACCATGTCTTGACTGTCGGCTCATAAATATGTGCAATGTTCTTAACTTTGGAGTAGGTTTCACCAATTGAATCCCACATTGGTTTTATGTCGGTAGGAACATCCGGTCTAGCATATTTTTCTGGAGCCATGAGATTCCATAGTCATATCATGGTCATGGAGTTCTCTTTGTCGAAAGTATCAAATGTGGTCTCCGGGTTTTGGTCCGGTATCTAAAAGATGGTTGAGTTTACCTTTACCTTTGAGAGTGGTCTAGATTAATTGGGATCAACTTGAATAATCATTTCCTGGAAAGCACTAGGTCACCTGGATTGATTGAAATTCGGTGATGGGATTTCCTTTGTGGGTATATGCTCTAGTATTTTGAGATGTTATCTCTTACATCTTTCTAAGTATTGTACGGTAATTAAGGTTAAAAGAAAAACATTATAAAAGAGATTCTACCAAGAATACAAGTGGTTGTGTGTGGACGGAACTTGCAATTTGTAGCTGATCTAGTTTTGCACGGTTGATCCAGCAGCTTGGATCTGGACAGAAAGGCATGAGTTCGGATGCACAGGGGCGCGAGGCAATGAAAGACACGAGCATGGTAGGGACACTGTGCACAGAGTAGAGGGCAAAGAGCAGAGGGCAGAGACACAATTCATAGGGGCATGGTACAAGCAAAGAACTGTTCATCTGGCAAGCACCATTCATCTTTGTCTGCCATTTGTATGAGCGCCGTTTGTATCTACCGTTTGTCACGAGTGTGCATTGAGTACGTCTTCGTGAGTGTCGTTCATCTGGATAGAGGTTGGAGCTGAGGGTGGCACAAAAGGGCAAGCATCGTACTTCTTGGCGCTTCGTGATAGAATAGCATGCGATAGATGGCGTCACACCTGTGTTTGGTTGCGAAAGGAGGCATCGCAACAAACAACAATGGAGTAGAGAGGGTCGTGTCTATGTTTGGTCGCTGACCCGTCTGGCTGTGTGACTACATCTGTTTGCAGTGCGGCTGTTTTTGGATGTGCAACTAAAGGTTCTACTGCCGGCAATGAAGTCCGGTTTGGTTGCTACTGGTGGTTGGTAGCAATTGCTGGTGGTTGATCTATAGTGGTCAGCTATGAAGGCTAATCTAATCATTTTAGTTTTTTTTTTTTAATTTTCTATTTTGACAATGAAGGTCGAATAGGATTTATAACTAATGATAGAGTTTCTTCAATTGGTCTCTAATGTCATGTTAAAAATGTTTTTGTATATCTTTTATTAAATATTACTGTTCTATATATATATATATATATTTTTAGGACATAAAAGAAAATAAACAATTAATTACAATAAATTATAGAGGATATAGTTTACTCTTATACTCTTTCATTTAATTTACCATTTCTTTA